AACATAAAGAAATGCAAACATGACAACATAAGAAACACAGACATGAAGGACAAGGGAGACTTAACGGGCTTGGATACACAAGGGGAATCTAATAAGCAAATGAACATAGGAGACATGAGCTTAAACATACTATAAACATCAAAATGAACTAAAACTCAAAACACTGGGCCATAAGACCCAGGACCGTGACAAAAGGTGCCAGAAATCAGCCCATAAAACTCTTGTTTTTTTAGGAGATCAAATCGGGTCCACATTCCCCTGGGTTGCTTTGAAACAGCCCTTTCCCACTGCACCTCTTCCTCCTGTAACTCCACTGCTGCCTGTGTCATTTCTGTGCTCTCCTCCCCACTTACCCTGTTCAACTGGTGAAAATGAGCAGTTCCCAGCCCCTGCTGCCCAGTACAGGCTTTCTTCCAGCCTTACTGCAGTGTCTGCTGCCCCTTTGTGGCCTGTTGTGAACCCTTAAAAGCCTGAATTATGAAATAACTGCCAGAAAAAGTAACTTAAAAAAATGAACCTCCTGTTTGTTTATTGAACCTTCTTACAATGAATAAATGAATGAATGACTGAGTTAATATGTACATATTGTTAAGTGTAGCTGTGTGCAGGCAGGAATTGGACCCAAGATGCAGACTCTGGAGACAGAACTTAAACCAAAACAGCTTTAATGCTGAACGCAAACATAACATAACTGGAAAAAACTCCAAAAACCAAACTAACACCAGCAGATTGACAAAACACACAGCAACGTAAACGGTAGATCGCGACACAGACACTAAGAAACACAGGGCTTAAATACACAGAGGGAGCAATCAGGGAATGGGTAACAGGAGGGAAACACAGCTGGGGCAAATCAGGCCTAACGAGACAAGAGGAAGCAAAACCAGACACATTAACATCAGACATGGACTTTTAAAGTAAAACAGGAAACATAACAGACTCACGGGCAGGCACTATAACAAAGGTAACAGAGACACTGACTGGATGTGGGATACAGCAGAAAGGGGAGACAGCAACATGGAACACAGACAGAAAACCAGAACACTAAAACTCTAACCAAACCCCACCCAGAGAACCTAAACTAAGAGTAATCCTAAAACCCATAAAGCAAAGCTAGAATATAATGAAATAACAAAATCAAAGAACCAAAAACACAAAAACACTGGGTCGACGACCCAGGGACCCTAACACATATGGATTTGAATTTGTATCATATTTGCTCCATCTGGAGTTGTTTTAGCAATTCATTGCTAAAAAATGTATTTTTGTAATTTATTTTATTATTATTTTTTAATTATCATTATTACTATTTTAATTTTTTCACTGAAAAATAAATATCCCACTGATGATGTAGAAGTCTGAAAAGGTGTAGGTATTAAATATAATACAATATATGTTAGGGTGTTAATTTTACCCTTAGCACTTCTGACCATCTCATTCTCTAAATCTTTTAGTATGGTAGTCACTCAGCACTCAACCGCCTTGAACTCCTCCAAGACAGATGGGAGTAAAGCTGAAGCTGCCCTGATCTGATCTAGATTCTCGCTGCTGTTAAGCTAGCAGGGATGCCAAGCCACTGCTTCAAATGTTTTTCACTCTCTTCTTCACTCCATCGAACACAGTCACTGGTATCTCGTAGGTCAGAGCCCGTTTTGATAAATACAGTACCTAAACTTGCAGATGTTGTTCCTGTTACCAAGGGTGTGATCATAGCACTCTCCCAGGCATTTAATGGCTTCACTGAATACGTGTGTTTTAAATGTTATCATTGTTGTTATTTAAATTTTAATCTTGTTCTGACTGATTTAGATCTGTACTGCAATAGTATCAAAGTCTGTTAGCTGCAAAAGCAAGTCTTGGTCACTCTCTTCTTTTCTTCAGACCATGAAGCAAAGCTGAGAGAGCTGGAGAGCAAGATGACTGAGACTGAAAAGTTGAAGCAGCAGCTACAAGGTATTATTTAAAAAAGGTTTTGGCTCTCGTTCATAGATTTGTTAAAATTGATGTGCATTTTTACAGCATGGTTATCTGCAAAGCATGTGTAACACATCTGTACTTACACCAAAGCTTTAATGTTTGGAGAGCAGTGAGCAATTCCAGACCAGCATGCAAAATTTTTAACGCTCCCTACTTAGCCCCAACTGAAAAAAAGACAAACAAAGGACAACTCTCCAAACGATGAACAAGAGAAAAAGAAAGAAGGCTTCTCTCTCTTACTTGACTGCTGCAGCACTCAATGCACATTACCAGTCAAATGGTAATGTGCATTGAGAGGAAGTCCAACTGTACTTGAATGTACATGAGGTGTTTAATGATGGATCTACAAATCAGGGTTTCTGTAACAGGCGGCAGAATAAGGTGTCTTTTCTAACCCTAACCCTATCAACAATAACGGTGGAACTACTCATTACTGAGTTCATGTTTGGAACTTTGATTTCTGTTTTGGGGACTTTACGAGTTTTTTTGGAGGTGTGGTCCTAAAGTTTTGATCAGCTGTAAAACAGCCTATTTCAGTTTAACTATTTTTCTTCATCATTAGAACTAAATAATGACATTACATAAGATATAAATGAAAGACAAATAAAAGAAAAAAGTAAAATAATGAATTAGTCAGGTAATAACTAATTTAATTACAAGAGAAACAAAGTCTCACTGAGGCCAAAAGCCAAAGAATAAAAATGTGTTTTAAGACATGTTTCAAAAGTGAACAGTGCAGTGAGGCCAGCACAGGCTTATATACTCTGTTTTACCAGTTGCTGTTAGCAGTTGTGCAGCTGCAGATGTGAGAGCAACAGCTGACTGACTTCCACATAGAGTGAGTTACTGTAGTCCAGACAGGAAGAAATAAAAGCATTGATGACTGTTTCAAAGTGGTGCCTAGAAAGAAAAGATTTTGCTCTTGCCAGTCGCCTTCAATGACAAGAACTGAACGTCACCACTGCTCTAATCTGGCTGTCCAATTAAATCACTGTTCAACTTAAAACCAAGGTCAGTAATAGCAGGTTTAAAATAAACTTCCAGAGGTCCCAAATCAACAGAGGACTCACAGGGACCATTAGGTCCAAACACCAACACCTCTGTTCTTTCCCATTCCCGACTGTGGCAGGAAGATGGCGCCTTTGCTCGGTTTGACTTCAACCTGCCTGCATTGTATTGTATTCTATGCTATTATATCAGCCCTTTAATATATGGCGCTATGCTGCTGTGATTTATGAGCGTTCTTCCTTGCTCCGCATCGGAGAGTCTATGGAACGTCTTTATGATGATTGGGACAGTTATACGGAAACTTTCCCCCAACAATTTGTGTGGTCTTCTACCCCACCGGATTACTTCTTGCTGAGCTCTTCAGAGGGAAAAAGAAGTATTTTCTGTTTCTCACCGAAACATGGCAGAGGGATGGCGAGTTTATTCCCCTAAATGCACTACGCCCTGCTACTCCTACTTGGGGGACCCCCGTTTAGGTCGCCGTGGTGGAGGACTTGCTGTTGTTTTTAACACTTTCACAGGAGCAACTTTAGTACCAACAATGTTTTTATTTCTTCCATATTTTATTTCTTATTTCTTCCACATGACATCTTATTTCTTCTAATTTATAAAAAATTCAGATACAGATGAAAAATAAGGAAACATTTCAGACACACCTTTTTATATCAAACTAAATCAGCTGTTTACATTTTAGTGATATCATGATAGTCAGATTAAGTTTAACATCTGTTAAGAGTTTAAGAAAAACACCTGCATGATTATCAAAGAAGAGAAAAAGAGGAACTTAACAGCAAAGACTCCAGTTAAAAGCAAACATGTGGGCCAGCAGTCACCAAAATAACAGACTGACCAACACAGGACAGTGGAGCCAATAAAAAACGATGCAGTTTACCAACTTATAGAAAATAGTCAGGACCTAATGGAGGAGCAGCACTTTATGAAGAGCCGACTCAAAGAAAGGACAAAGAGAAGAGAATCACTGAGCATTTACAGTTTTTCTCAGTCGCTTTGGTGCTTTTCTCACATCACTATTAACATTTGCACAGCAGTTAGTGTATTTCTCCAACCAATTGGTGCAAACTGCCAAACCTAGTGGATAGGTCACTTGCTCAAAATCGATAATCCATTCCTCAAAAGCAAGTATTCATGTCAATGAAACTGCCAGTGTCATCGAAATGAGAAGTTTTGACACCATCTTGATGAACATGATAGTCAAATGACTTCGTCATGTTTTCAGTGTTTTGCAACGCAAAAAAGGTCAGAACTCGGCCACACTACCTGAAAATGCTCACGACAGCACTATACACTTTTTGTACAGCCATTTACAGTAAAACCTACAGTAAAGTTAGACATTCCTGTAGTTAGGGAAGTACTTTTACTGTGAAGGCTGTTTGTAATTCTACAATATTGTGCAAAAGAAAAGTTCTCTACAGTCACTTATTTAAAATAAACATAAGAAACACCCTTTTGGTCGGGCTGTGCACAAATGTGAACAGTACAACAGTACATATTTTAACTGAACATATGTAAATCATTCTGGCACATCCAGACGTTCCTGTCTGTCTGGCCACATATTTTCATCTACATCACAAGAGATATTTTCCCTTGCAATGCAGCAAGAAAAGTATATCCTGCAGTGGCGAATTCAACCTCTGCATGACTCTGCTGTGATGTCATCACATGCTACATCCATGGCTGCTAGCAGGGCCATTTGCGCATGTGAATGCCAGTCATAAACCTTCCACCAAACCACTGTCTGACCAGATGTGAGTGGTGACAATGGACATTATCCCACACAACAACATACTTGTTGAGTTGGCCTCCACCCCTCTCATTCTCAGGGACAAATGACTAGATGTTGTGGAGGTTGCACTAATGGTTTTGAGAATTTTCATTCTGATCCGAGAAAAGCACCAAAGCGACTGAGAATCATTGAGCATTTAACTGGATTTATTTGAATCAAAGATAACAAGAAGAAGTAAATTATCTGAGTCAGTAGAAACAAATAAACACACAACTAGAACCCAACCATTCAGAGCGAGAGAGAGCAAGAAACTGATTTCAGCAGGTGATTTACTTCCTGCTTTGCTTCTAAAAATGGCTAAGCTCCGCCCACACAGGACAGGCCAAACAGGAAGTGTTGGAGCTGTCACACCTCTCACATGGTGAAAATCAGATGACCACTGAAGGTGGTTAGATGGTTATCACTGTCATATACCGTTGAACCAGCCCAGAGACGTACAGTCACCTGATCTCCAACCTCTAGAAGCACTGAGGCTCCATTAGAGGCGCTTGGCCACCCAGTTGATTGACTTTCATATGCAAAAAAAATTTTCTCTTCATTCCTGAATAGATAAGCACCTGTGTGTGTGCTGTCACGTCCTAGTACTTTCCAGTCAAAGTGGTAGGCTCCTCTCACTGGTGCAGTGAAAATACCTGTGGGACATTTGTTTTTGTTAAATGGAAAATCAGCTGTTAGAACATCTGGAACATCAGCCTGACATCAACATAGCTGAGAAGTGACATTCAGTGTGATTACCTGTGTTTTTGTTGTAGGCATTTCCAATGTTTGTGATAACATGTTTGAAGATCAGAGTAGTGCGGCCATTGAAGGGTCCAGTATCTCCATAACCTTGATCCAGCAGAGAGGCTGAGAAAGCCACCTGTGTGACTGAGAGAGAGAGAAAATTCATTTTACACTTCCTGTTTTAGAGTTAGACTCTTCGCACAAAAGTGACCATGACAAAAACTTTACAGCTTAAAGCGTTTCACTGTCACAGAAGAAATCAAACTCTGTCAACTGAAATTTGATTGAATCTATTTTTGAGGATCCCAAACTCGTCCTTTAGATCAGACAGGAAGGTATTTTGTAGCTTCTGCCAAGACAACAAACTGTGTTATTCAGTGTTTTAGTTGCATCTTGGTTTGTGCTTCAGACAAACATGAACTCAGTTTAATGTCATTCAGTAAATTAGATGCAGTAATGAACTTAATGTGTGTTCTGAAGCTTAAAGAGTGCTTTCACTTTGATGACCTGCACAGAGTGGGGATACACCTGTAAACAACACCTCTGTTAATCACAGGTAACAATCACAAAAATCCTCTACTCGCTCTCCCACATTATTAGAACTACAAACATGGCTGCAGTTTTTATTTATTGCAATATCTGAGAGTCAATATTTTATGGTTTGGACTGGCTGTAGTTTCAAATACTAATTTGTGGTGGTGCTTGGACTGTGGTGCCGTGCGAACGTGGAGTTTTAGGCTTAAAATTAGAAACTGGTTGAAGGACATACAGGCAGACAAACAAAAATCATCCATTCAAAACATTCTGACATCCTGTTGTCGGTTTCACACTCATCAGTATTTGACTACTCAATCACTTGGAGTAAATCAGCAGTACTGACTCTAAATTGTAATTCATATATTGTAATTTTAAATTGCTATTGGGAAGAGTTGTCACCATTAAAATTATGATTCTGCTTAAAAAGAACTACACCGATACCTAATAAACCCTCTCTTAAAATCATCACTGGTAGGTCTAAAAACATGACGGTGGTCTACAACTACCAAATTTGTATCACTACTTCTGATCCAATAGATTAAAAATTGATTAAACCAAGCTTATTAGACAGCTCTTGGCTGGACCTGGAACAAATTTCTAATCTGCCTTTCATATACTCCAGTATCATGACTTAGTTATCTTAATTAATTCCCATCAGGCTGGGAATTCTTAAAAATAAGAATTTTAAGTCTTCACTTATCCCATGTAAATGAACACCCATTAGGAACAATCCAGGTCATAAAAGGAAGATATGAAAATGTCGAGTCATGAGTAACATGTCATAGTCTAGAACATCTTATGTGAAACTGAAACTTGAATTAAAATATGGAATCAGCAAAAGTAATTTTCTTGAATATCAGCAACTGAAAGCCTTCATGTGAAAAATGTGAAATGTGTCTGAAAATGTGTCAAATATAGAGATATTTCAGCATTTCTAGATTTCAGATTTTGACACAGTACCATGTTGCTGCTGCTTCATCTGGTTGGCCTCAGTCCTCTGGTTCTGCAGTTCAGTCTTCAACTTTCCTGCTTGTTCTGAGAAAAATGTAAAATTGTCCTTGAGCACAAACTAAAGACATTTAAACACAGTCACACCACTTTATGGACAGATTATAAAGTGATGAGCCAAATGTGAGTCAATTATCTGCACCTAACATTTCTACAGAGCAGAGCCCACACCTCCAGCAGAGCTTCAACAGCATCCCGAGGGAGAATGGCAACATTGAGTCAGAATGGACCATGTTCTGCGCCATCATTGCTGAAGCCATGGCCCTGAGCTGTGGTCGCAAGGTGGTTGGTGCCTGTCGTGGTGGCAACCCCCGAACCAAATGGTGGACACCGAGGGTGAGGGGATAGCCACCAGGCAGAAGGAAGAGTCCTATCGGGCTTGGTGAGCCTGTAGGACTTTGGAAGCAGCCGATAGATACCCACAGGCCAAGCGGAACGTGGCTTGGGCAGTGGCTGACGCAAAAACTCGAGTGCTGGAGGAGTTTGGAGAGGCCATGGAAAAAGACCTTTTGATTGCCCCGAAGAGATTCTGGCAAACCATTAGGAGAATCATGAGGGGAAAGCCGTGCTCTACCTGCACTGTGTATAAGGCCAGCCCGTTCTCACTCCCAAAGCGTAACATTTTACGCTAGGTGACAAATCGTCACCATATTACGTTTTCGGCTACCCACCACGTTCCTAAATGATGACCTCGGAAAAAAGAGGAAATATGAGAACCGTCTGGACTGAATCTACACATGTTCGCTCTTTTTCTTCAAATCGCTTAGAAACACGCTATGGTCAGGGCTAGGGATAAGGTTAGGTTTAGGGCTGGAATACAGGGCTGGAACGTCTATTACCGCGGGAGCGTCATTGCACTGGATTCCAGCCATAACCCGCTGCGTACCATAAGAACGCCGAAGGTCTCCTTTCGCGTTCCCCAGGAACGCCGCGGGACGTGACAAAACGTCGACATGTTACGCCTCGGGAGTGAGAACACTCTGATAAGGCAGGTGGAGCACTGCTCACTTCGATTGAAAATATTGTTGGGCAGTGGAAGAAATACTTAAAGGACCTCCTTAATCACACTGGCATGTCTTTTGAGGAGGAAATATATTCTGGGGATGAGAGGAACTATTCGTCTATCTCTGAAAGTGAGGTCACTGAGGCAGTTAAACAACTCCTTGGTGGCAGAGCCCCTGCGGTGGATGAGGTCTGCCCTAAGTTCCTGAAGGCTCTGGATGTTGTAGGGCTGTCTTGGTTGACACGCCTCTACAATGTTGTGTGGAGATCAGGGGCAGTACTTCTGGATTGGCAGATTGGGCTTGTGGTTCCCATCTTTAAGAAGGGGACTGGAGGGTGGGATTCAACTATAGGGGGATCACTAAGTCCATGCCAGGGTGCTGGAAAGAAGAGACTGTCTGTTAGCTGAATCTCAGATACAGGAGGAGCAATGCAGTTTTTGACCTGGTCATGGAACACTGGACCAGCTCTTTATCCTTTCAAGGATACCTGAGGATGCATGGGAGTTTGCCCAACCAGTCTACATGTATTTTGTGGACTTGGAGAAGGCGTTTGACCTTGTCCCTCGGGGTGTCCTTTGGGAGGTGCTTCAGGAATATGGGGTTATCTGGCTATTGCTACAGGCCATTTGATCCTTGTAAGACCATTGCTTGGTCCACTTAGCTGGCAATAAGTCGGACTTGTTCCCAGTGGGTGATGGATGCCGTCAGGGCTGTCCTTTGTCACCGATTCTGTTTATAACCTTTTTGTAAAGAATTTCTAGGCATAGCCAAGTGGCAGAAGGCTTTCATTCGGGTGGTCTCAGAATCTCATCTCTGCTTTTCACAGTTAATGTGGTTCTGTTGGCTTCATCAGGTGATTGCCTGCAGCTCTTACTGGAAGGGTTTGCAGCCGAGTGTGAAGCGGTGGGAATGAAAATCAGCACCTCCAAATCTGACGTCATGGTCCTCAGCCTGAAAATGGTGGAGTGCCCATTCCGGGTGTGGCGCAAGTCCTTCCCCAAGTGGAGGAGGATCTCGCCCCTTTAAGTATCTTGGGGTCTTGTTCACGAGTGACGGGAGAAAGGATGGGAGATCGACAGACAGATTGTTGCTGCACCTGCAGTGATGCATGCACTGTACCGGTCCACCGTGGTGAACACAGAGCTTAGCTCTGGCTTGGCTTAAAAGATATATCTTTTAGGGTGAGGAGTTCGGGCCAGCTGAGAGATATTAACTCTCAGCTGGCCTTTAAACGCCTTGGTGTACGGATAAGCTGGAGGAGGTGGGTAGAGATATGGTGGGCTGAGCTTCTGGTCTTAGGCTGCTACCCCTGCAACCCGGCCCCGAATAAATGGAAGAAAATGGATGGATGGAAGGATGGATGGATGGCTTTCATACAGTACCTTCTGACAGCTGCTTCAGCTGGTTCATCTCAGTTTTCTGACTCTCCAGCTTTGCTTCTAGTTCTGAGAAAATACCATAGAAATAAAAAGAAAAATCTCACTGACAGCACACAGTAATTCACAGGTTTTTATCTATAAGTAGGAGAGTAACTGTGGCTCTCATTCTGTTCATGCTACACTGAGCAGTGGCCTCCTCCATCCTCCACCTCCACCTCATCTTTATCCACAGTCTGTGAACTCTGGCTGTCCACTCTGTGTTTTCTGAATGTATGTAAAAGATGGCCACTAAAGCTTACCCCAGATCACTGGAAGAGTGATTTGGGTTACATTCTGCCATGTCCCATGTGTCATTTTCCTGTCTACTCTCCACTGTTCCTCCCCCGATAATGACTAAAAATGCCTGAGGAAAAAATATAAGATTTGAAGGCTAATCTTTTGGTCATATGTATATCCAGAACTCACATATACTTTTGGAGATATTCTCAGCTGCAACATTAAAAAAACCACCTTGTTGGAATATTGATGTTACACAGCTATGTCTTCATCCATGAAGAGTTTAAAAAATCTGGATGTCTAACAAGTAAAAAGAGCAACTTATATCTGCAGGTAGAGATATAACACAGACTTTAAATGATGGTTAGAATTGTTGTATCAGCAGAAACTGGTGTTTAAGTAAATGTTGAATTATTTGGTTTGGAAGAGTTTGCCATGAAGAGGAGCTGTGAGCTGTTTCATTATAAACACATTACAGTCAGTTCCTGATGTTGAGATGAAAAAAAAAATGTTTTTTTCCTGGTATAAAATAATAGGATATTTTGAAATAAACGTTTTTTATGGGAGTTTTTTTTTTTAATTTTTTTCTTTAAAATCAAATGTATGAAAAGACAAAATAAAATAAATGTATCATATGGACCAGGTCAATGATGGTTTGCACACAGTACCTTTTGACTGTCGCTTCAACTGGTTGATCTCAGTCTTCTGTCGCTTCAGCTTCACTGCTTTTTCTGAAATAAGTGCAAAATGAATTTGTTTCCCTGTACCATGAATTTCTATGAAGATTACTTTAAAATTTCTATACCAAAATATTCAGTTTCACAAGAAAACACATGACCATGAATGTTGGTCATTCCTGTTTCTGATGTTCTGGATATTTCTGGAGTCACACTGGTACCTTGCTCTCTCTGTAGGACAGTGATCCGCTCTGTCTGCAAAGCCAGTGAGGTGGTCAGCTCTCTCAGCTCAGCGTGGATGTCCTGTGGACAGGACTGTTGGCCTGCAGTCTGTGTCTGATCTGCTGAAACAGAGCAGACCAGAAGCAAAAGTGGGAGAAACATGATGATCTTCATTCTGTCAACATAAAGCTGCTGTATAACTGTCATCTGTAAATCTGAGTGTTTTATAACGAGGGGAAAAGAGGCGTGAATGAGGAGGTTTCTGCCCCACATGTCCCCTCATCCTCCACCTCACACACTGCAGAGCCACAAGACCACGCCTCCTACAGGTGCTGTTGGTGAATGATTGAAGAGGCAGACTGCATGCATAAACAATCAGGGTCATGTAAACAGAGCAGGAATGAAGAGATATCGTCCCAAAAGTTTGATTCTGTTCATCAGTTCCCAACGCTCCTTCACAAACAAAGACCATCCAAGCATTTTCTGTAATCCTAAAACTGGACTTTGTATGTAAATAAATGTAACATTTTTTTTCATTGAATGTTGGCTTGATCATGTCAGCTGTGACCTCACAGAGCAAAAGAGAGGAAACCTTTGTTTGTCAAGCTTGTTGAACAAAGTACAATTCGATAATGCTCAAAACCTCCAACACACTGACATCAGCTTCTCTATGATTACTGGAAATCAACAGATATATTTAATCTTCTTTGTAAATAACTGCTCATTGCAAAGCCTCTGTCCAGTAAGTGGGCGTCACAAACTGTGGGCAAGGAAAACCCACAAAATAAACTCTTGCTTTTTCCCAACAGACCTATTGACTTGTCACAGTAGTGAAAGTACAGGTGGAACTAATGTCACTTCAAAACAAACCACACAAGTGTCAGTGTGTTAGAATATCTCCACCAGACCCTGATCAGTCTCAGTGCTTACTCTGTCATTTATGGCTCATAGGGAGCCCGTCCTGTTCTCGTTAAAGTTTTGTTTATAGCTGGCAGAGCTTATCTAAATCATTTTGCCAATGTTTGACAATTTTACACAAAGACTCTTTTTTCCCTATTTACTGATTAGTCAGTGTTTTGGGTTCACTTTGAAAGAATTTACTCACGTGACTGTGTAAAAAGTTTTCAGTATGAGTTTCAAATGACAAAAAATTCTGATCTACAATGATACCTAGATACCTATTAGATGTGACGTTTTCAATTTCAGTCCCTTAAATGGTTTTAATCTTAAGAAACGTTGATAACAACTCTTTGCCATTTGAGAATAACATGAAGTTGGATTTCTTTGCATTTAATACTGTGAGAAAAGAGGAGACGACCCAGCAACATGGACACTGTGTTCAAGCTGATGTTAGGTTACAGCATTTATAGAAATAACAATATGTTTAGTCTGTTTACCAAAATGTCATGATCAGCTGTGACAAAAACCTTCCTCAAGTCATGAAAAAGAGTAGCACAATGTTGTTCACTACTTTAATTGCCAGTTATTGTGCTGTGTTGTTGGTTGAATCCTAGCTATAAACCTGATGGTTTATAGGTGAGTTTGTGGGGAATGACAATGAACTATAGCCAGCAAAGAGCATCCTGACGCAGGAGTCTTTGTTCTCCAAGTGAGAGAGAGAATGATGTACTACAGCAGTGATCACGTCTGTGCTAGATACACATATTACAATATATTTAATATCTATCGATTTCAGTAAGACTATTTATTTGAAGATTTAAGCTGCTGCATAAATTGAACATTTACTAATATCTCAAGAGATGGACTAGCATACATAAAACACTCTTTCTTTTAAGCAAGAGTACAAATACAGTTACCCTGTGCTTGTTTTTAAAACACTATTTTTTCTACTTCTACTTCTGCAGTTTGTAATAGCAAACTTAAATCTAGGCTGAAGAAAACATTCCAGCTTTTGTTTGATGGGATTGCTAAAGCAGGAAATCCAGTCCATCTGAGTCAGCTCTACACAGATCTACAAAGAAACGTTGTTTGAAATAAGAGTAAACCAAGAGAATAAATTTTCAGGTGTATCTTAAAGGTAATAGGCACGTTGCGATTTCATTTACAAATCATCCAGCGATTGGTTAAAGATGGTGAAAGTTTACCTGCTGTTGTACAGTAGCACGGTAAATCATTAACGAACCTGCTCCTTAAAAAAATTGCGTCTTCCATTGACGTGTTTCACTGTTAAATAAACTTGGTAGGTTTTTGACTGCTGTTACACTGCAAATACTATAATGTGGTATAATAACCTATAAATAGCTAAATGACTGCAACTGCTTTAAAAAAATGCGTATATTGTTTTAATGTTATAATGGCAATGGTAATCTTATCAGTGAGACAGTCTGTCTTGATATCTCAATAAAATGAGCAATGCCCACTAGTAGGGATGGGTATTGATAAGATTTTCACGATTCCGATTCCATTTTCGATTCTGTTTAACGATTCGATTCTCTTATCGACTCTCGTTTTTAAAGAAAGGAGAACACTAAGTTCGATTAGCTTAGAACTTTGTTTTATATCTTCTCTTTGAACAAGATAGAAATTTAGGAGTAACATGGCCTTACAAACCCAACAGTGAGATCTTAAGAGATCCAGCCTACGGCTCTTCAATGAGGTGTCACTGCGTTCCCAGGAAAAAAATTGTAAATGTAAAATAATAAAATAAATATTCTTCTGTAGCAATAACAAAGTATAACATAAATCATTCTGTAGCAATTACACAAGAATAGCCAGTAATGTCCCTGCCTACAATTAAACACATTCACTTACTGAAAATCATCTGCTGTGGCAAACGGCTGCAAGCCTTTGACCACAAACTGAGTCACTGCTCGGTGACGTTCGTCTATCCTGGCCTGAAAGGAGACGCTGCCGGTAGACTGCAGCGAGAACTGCCAGCATCTGAGCCAGCCAGACTCTGTCTGTCTCATCATGGTCACCTACATGCACAGTAATGTCAGGTTCTATAATAAGGCAGATCGCGCTAACATAATATGCACTGTTAGTTGATTATTTACCTGCCGCATTAACAGGAGAGGACGTGCAAACGTTACCGCTGCTGCTGGGTTGAGATTCACGAGTCCGGAGCGGAATTAAAAACACATTTGCAAAAATGGCAAACAATTCCAAGGAATTGAAACAGTGGGAACTGGTTCTCAACAAGAACTGGTTTTCGACACCCATCCCTACCCACTAGTGTATGAAGTAACAAGATAGCTTAAATTGTCACAGCTGGGGCAGCAGCTTTGTGATGTGTGGAAAAGAGGACTCGAATGCAGCACTTACTGAGATGCGAGGGTGGTTAATTATGAATGACAGAACACAAAGTGGGGATGGAAAAAACAGAACTCAGGATAAACTAAATTGGGAGAAACTAAACTGTAGTATGGCAAACCTGAACACAGGAGGAGGACAGCAGGGAGAGTACACAGTGGATGACACGAAGAATGCTGGGTAGAGAGAGAGATGTGGAGAAACAATGGATAATAATAATAATAATAATAATACAACAAACACAAAATCACTGAGCCTACGGACTCAGTACCATGACATAAATTGAGATGTTGATAATCTGACATCAATGCTTATGTCCTATGACTATTGCACAGTTGGCACAAATTGTGCAGCTATGCAAATAATCACTCAACCATGAATGGTTTTTATTTACAGACAGGAAAGTTTGTAATGTCTGTACAAAAAAAGCACTTTTATAGCAAATGGTGTCAATTTTGTCTCTTTAGCTTTCTCCTTCATCTTGCTGTCTATACCCAACCACGATGTCCAGCAAGACAATAAACTGAATGTCTTTATTTGTGTTTGGAATGATTTTTTTAATATAATTGTTTATATTTAAAAAGAATTCATTAAATGGAACATTAATAGTTCACTGAAGCTGAGGGAATGAGCTGGATCTGCACTAACATGTCCTGAGCAGATACCTGTCCCAGGTACTGATATGAACTTTATCTGTGAATGCACCTGTAGAAGTTTCCTGCAGTAAACTATAAGAAGCAGGTCAAACATCAGGATACCAATGCTGATTTCTGTATAATTGTTTATCTCCTCCGCAAATCGCTACCTTATCAAGGTGGAGGGGTTTGTGTGTCCCAGGGATCCCAGGGGTATGTTGTCTGGGGGCTTTTGTCCCCTGTTAGGGTTTCCCATGGCAAATTGGTCCTGGGTGAGGGACCAGACAAAGAGGGATTAAGAAAACCCCTATGACAAGACCATCGAGGGAACAGTTCACCCTCCCTGGGATAGGGTTACCGAGGCCCCGCCTTGGAGCCAGGCCCGGGGACCGTGCCCGAGGGCGAGCGTCTGGTGGCCAGGCCTTAGTCCATAGGGCCCGGCCGCGCACAGCCCGAAAAAAGGGACATGGGCCCATGTAGGGATTAGGTGCAATGTGAGCTGGGCAGCAGCCAGGAGCGGAGGTCATGGCCGACCAATCCCTGGCTACCAAGACTAGCAATTGGGTCATGGAATGTCACCTCTCTGGTGGGGAAGGAGCCTGAGTTAGTGCATGAGGTTGAGAGGTACCGGCTAGACATAGTGGCTTGGGCTGTTATGTCTAGCCAACACCTCTCCAGCCTCCTGGAGAGGGGGCTGGACTCTGTCTCAGTCTGGTGTTGCCCCTGGTGAGAGGCGGTGGGCATCTTGGTATCGCCTCGGCTTGCTGCTGGTATGTTGGGGTTTCTCCCAGTGGATGAGAGGGTTTGTTCCCTTCGCCTTCAGGTCAGGGAATGGGTCCTAACCATCGTCTGCGCTTATATGCCGAGTGGAGGTTCAGAGTACCCAGCCTTCCCTGGGTGGGGTACTGGAGGGTGCTCCTCCTGGGGACTTTGTTTTCCTACTGGGAGACTTCAATGCTGACGTGGGCAATGACAGCGAGACCTGGAGCGGCGTGACTGGGAGGAACGGTCTCCCGGATCTGAACCCGAGGGGTGTTTTGTTTGTGGACTTCTGTGAAAACCACAGTTTGGCCATAAAGAACACCATGTTCGAACATAAGAATGTGGCACCTTCATGCTTACCTGCTGAGAGGTTAAACTTGGTTGCTAAGGGTCTACCACCTAGTGTGGTAGCGACGATTCAGAGCGCCAGGGCCTCGTCTACTAGAGGCTTGTACGCTTACAAATGGCGAGCCTTCGAGCGATGGTGCCAGGACCGCCACACTCTCCCATTTCAGTGCTCTATTGTGGATGT